AGTCTTGATTGCATCTTTAACCATGCCCTTTAATGCTTTCGTGAAAACTATGACAACATTTTTTCCATCATTTTGCTCTTGTGCATCATGAAACTGATCTAACAATGAATTCTTCAGTCGAGTCTTATTTACAGTCTTGTAAACGCCCAAAGCTTCAAGACGACTTATATAAAGTGCATGCAATTCAGATAGCATAAAAAGAAGCTTGTTTTCCTTAACAGAAATCTCAATATACTCAACCAACTCGATGGATGCTTGAGATTCCATAATCCTCTCATCCTCTTCTTCACAAGATTCTTGCCGTTTTCTAGTGAGATGACTTCTATACCGATTCCTTAGATCAGTCAAACATCATTAAGGTAATATTTGACCTCAGCAGCTATGAGATCAACTCCCGAGATATTTGGCATTAGCGTAGCACAAGAGAATATTAAGTAAGAGAGCACATCTCCCATACATGAGTCTGTAACCATGAAAGTTTCTTGAAAATCTATTTTTAGCTGCGCGCGCAAGCCTGAGCTATTTTTAACATGCGATCCCCTATTGCTGCTCAGAGTTGTAGTGACTTCCATGCGAGCGAAAAATGTTTAGTTCCCGACAAGAAGAATGCCTTCAAAATTAATAAAAAGTTGAAATGATTAAAGTATCATGTGTTCTTCATGGACGAATTAAACATTAACTTAACGAGTGATGTAAAAGAACATCAAAAAAGATCAAATCAGGATGGTTTTCAGTCACATACGAACAAGCGCTAAAAACAGCGAAGACGCCATGGGGAAGAAAACCGCAATAAAAAGTACGATGAAAATAGCGAAAAACCTACAGTGAATACAGCCAAAAAAGCATTTACCGTTGTGTTTTCTATAGTAAATAAAGTTAAAGTAATTAAGAAGACGATGAACAAGGCTAGTATTTTGTTTCACACACGAATCAGAAAAACTATTTGCATCGAAATGTGCCGAAGAAAATTTTCTGTTTTCACAGAGGAAAAAACTACAAGAGGCACTGAAGTGATTTTTAACAATTATTAAATATGTTTAGCTTGCCAAAATACGGTGTGTCAGTTTATGCAAAAGACGTTGCCCATTGAGAAAAGACGAATTAATGAAAAAGTTTGACTATTAAAACTAGAACTTTCTTTCAAATTTTGCACCATGAATTTTCGCTCCGCCTCAATGTTCAGGTATTTTTTTCATAACTTTTCAACTTCTAAAGTCCCAAACAGACAATAGAAATACAATATCGGCGAAGTACAAAAAGTGAATCAAACTTAGTATTTGAGGATTCAAACTGATAAAAAACAGATTATTTTTACNGGATGGCCTGGCATGGACAAAAACATGAGAGCTTGGCACCAAGTTGTGCTTCTTTAACACAACACGCAATCCACCGCCATCACAACAGCACCCTTCGGCCCTCCCTAGTGGGCCTTGGAAAAAAGTCCACATCGGCCTCGCCGGCCCAGTCGACAACTTGTATCTCCTAATAGTCCTTGACGCACACTCCAAGTGGCCGGATTTCATACCATTGCGCACCACAACTTCACTCGCCACGATCGATGCACTCCAAGACGTGTTCGCTCGATTAGGGCTGCCACGTGTCCTAGTCAGCTCACTTCGACTGACTTTACACAGTTCCTAAAATCTGATCGAATTGTCAAGAACGATAAAACTTTATTACCCGCACCCACACCTTCTAAGCCTACCATGTTTAAAGTGCCTAGTGGGACAGCTGGTTATGAATCTCGGTCTGAAAGTCCATCAGTCGTGAAGGCCACTTGAATCAACCTTCCTCAAGGAACCTCAGCATTCCAGGATCTGGAACTCCAAAGATATTCACGTCTTACGAAGGGCATAGCACCTCTTGTGTAATTAGCGCGCTATTACCCAGGGCCCAGAGCACATGTTATCGTTAGTTTGTCAGGTTGAGTTTTTCTGAACGCAAATAAAAAAGGTCATATTAAACAAATCTAAATAAGAAGAAGACGTTATGATATGAAATTTGCTTACTTTTTTAATGGTTTCAGCGATAACATGAAACTCCTGTCTTTAATATTAGTATTCATAGTAATAACAATAATAATAATAACTAAATTTTTTGTTCTAATATAGTGGTTTTACTTGGCGCCCGAAAGAATACTAAACGTAATACAAAGCAGTAGGCACTGATTCCATCGTTTTCTTTTGTTTTTCTTTGCATGTTACTCACTAATTTTAAAACTTTGTTTCACGGGCCAAATAAATCACTTTATTATCTTTTTCGAATTTACAGCAAGGGGGAAAAGAACCATGCTGTCACACGTGATCATCACGCTGTTATCATGTGTCACTCACGTGATCAGTGAGTTCCAATGTCAAGGAACCTGCTATTCGGGATCTTTCCCAAAKAACAACCAAGTCATCAAGGGAAAACATCTCAGAGGAYACTCCTACAAGAACATTACCACTGATGTTCCACGCACGTGCTTCTCGTCCTGTATCAATGACTGTCGTTGTAAGGCGTTCCAGATGAAAGATGTCAGGTGTGAGTTGCTGGATGAGGRCAAGACTTCCAAGGCAGCAGACTTTGTTGATGAGACAGGATACGTGTACTATGATCTACAACAGACATTCTATAAAGGGGTAAGTTTTGATGATTTTGATGTTATACATGATTATTGTAGGACTAAAATGAATTTTCAACTTTTTATTTAAGAAATCCCACATGGATGCATGCTATAATGGTTGCTGTAAAAGTCAGCCTTGTATAAACGGAGGAACCTGTGTAGAAAATTGTGAGAACGCAAAAGTCAAGTTCAGCTGCAAGTGCCCAGCCACTTACAAAGGAAAAGTCTGTGAAAAGAGAGAGGTCGGTTCCTGCATTGATGTGTTGAAAGGAGCTGCACCAGGTACCATGCCAGCAAATGGTACCTACATTATCACCCGTAGCGATACCAAGACTACTGTACCCGTCTATTGTGCTTTTGAAAGTCCAAACCAGGCCTGGAATCTCATCGAGTCTTTCTCTCTACAAAAGAACAGTTTTTATAAAAAGAAAGCATTCAATCAGGATTATCCGAGGAACCAGAAATCCCATAACTGGGACGACTATCGTCTGTCGCTAAGCAGCATGCAGTACATCCAAACCAAGGCCACCATGTTCAGAGCTACGTGTGAGTACCAAAACAGAGATTCTCTTACTCCTGACTTTTTGCTTGGATACAAGACAGACTTTGATATCATCAATAGCGGTAATGAAGGGGCAACATTGTGTCCCATAATGTCTTACATGAACTTTAAAGGACACGAGTTCAAAGGGCAAMGTGTACCAACGTGGCACATTAAAGATCAGTGTCATTTACACGTGGATTACTCCGTTAATAAGTGTGGATTCACACCACCCGCAGCATCATACATTCATGACGAGGATAACTTCGGAAAATATGCAACTACAAATCCAGCATTTAAATGCACTGCAACACAACAGTCTACCACACAGTGGTGGTTAGGAGAACAGCTTTAGGGTGACCACACAGTACATCTACTGACCTTGGAATATGGGATCCTGTTACTATGGTAACACTAACCCAGTATTCAAATACACTGCA